CACACACACACACACACGCACACACACACACCAATTTTCTTAATGTAAATCAAAGAAACATGTATTATCTTTGTGTAGATTACGAAACGTAACTAAGACATTTTTTTCTTTACAGATGGGAAGGATGTCCGATGCACTGAGAGAAAAATGTTCCTGTCCGCAGCTTATTAGTATAATACATAAATAATATATAGAATACATCGATCTACCTAACAATAATAATTATATTGATAAAATGGTTGTGAAATCTGAAGGACGAAGGACTATTCATTAATTTGTTTCGTTTTTCATTAAATTGGTACGGCTAGAGAAAATAAAGTACAAGAAAAACTATTGCAATATTGTCAGGAAACTATTGCCAAGTATTTAAATTAGGACCCTGGTGCAATGATTTCATTCTATAATGTTGTGGAAATATATATCTACACAAGGTGATAAATTTATTACTCTAATCGGACTATTATAATTTTTTATTGGCAGGTTTTCGATTTGTTTTGAACCGTGAAAGGGGAGAAGGAAGTGATATATTTAGAATAAAATGGCGGGAGCCGAGGGTGATAGAAACCGTTCTCTGAGAGAAATTATATTTGATAGCCTGCAAGCTATTTTGTCTCCGGATTTATTAACACGTTCTGGTGGAGAAGAGCAGATAAAAGCTTTGGAAGTAACGGAAGGTATGAATCAGATTGTTCTCTATGGTTTTGAAGATATTTTAATGTTTACAGTCAATTTACGTTCAGTTTGTCCACCACGCGCCCAACAAAAAATGCCAACATCACATGTCACATGCTGCACACAAAAACATTGTAAATACAGTCGAACCTGCCTTAACGGAAACCTGTCTTAGAGGAATGTCCCCGCTCCCCCCTTGATATATTCCATCTTTAATTTCTGGTATAAAAGGGAAACCTGTCCAATGTGGAAACGGAAAGAAAAATCCGTTCCTTCCGAGGGTTTCTCACCTAACCTAAGCCTGAGAGGGAAAAAATGCTTTGCCCGCTCAGCCAATGTTTGAAACAAAACTTGCAAGTTTGGTTCAGCTGACTCTAAACTTAACGCCATCGCCACGCCGCTGGATGAGGGAGGGAAGTGGGGGTTGCCTAGATGTTACCCTGGAAAGCCTAGATCTAGAATCTAGATCTAGATAGATCTAGTTTAAAACCTACCCCATCCATCATCCTGTGAGTCCTGAGCGATGCAGATGGTCAGGGTTGTAATGTATGGGTATGAAATCTCACGACTGCCCATGGATGAGTGTTCGAGTAGCGAGCCACAACGGAAACATTCCTGGATAGCCAGAGGTGTGAAATTAGTTTGACCAATGCCTGCCGCCCTGATCGTAAGAGGCCAGCCGAGAAAAAAGTTCCTCAATTCATTGTTGCATGGTGGCAGTGAGGGGTTGCATTAGTTGGTGCTTTTTCGGTAGTTCCCACCGCCCTTATTTGAGCTTGACCTACATCTAGATCTAGATCTAGATCTGTACGTTTAATGTGCGGCGAGCTAAGATATCAAACCTAACAACTGCAAAACATTAAATAGTTGTAAAATTCAGGGGGCATGCCCCCCCTGAAAGCCCCCGGTCACCATATTTTTAGGTAGTGTCAATTGCCACCGAGTGACGCGGTGGCAATTGACAAAAATTGACTTTTTGTCAGTTGCCAACGAGTAAATTGGAGCTCTTTTGCATTGGTGGGTAGATCAAGCTTATTGTGCTCGAGTGCTCGGTGTTGTGCGTTCGCCTCTCTGTCCCTCTGTGTGTGTGTGTGTGTCTTTTCCTGACCCCTGTCCCCCGATTTATGTTTCCCGATATAACGTGAATTTTTGCTTGAGTTCGTGTGCATTTGTGATCTACTTCTAGAATTGCCTGTGTTGGTTCTACACCAAGGCAAAGTGTAGGCTAAGGCGCTAAGGCTAAGGCTAGCCTAGATCAGAATCTAGATCTAAATCTAGGCCTACGTCTCATTGAAAACACGCCAAGTTGGTACCGTAGCTCTAGACTAGATGTTCGTCCAATGAAATCAGTTGAGAACAAATTGACCCATTAGACACACATTATGTATAAAGCTAACGATAGTGTTTTTTTCAGACTTGACACCGCTTCACTTGGTGGCAATTGACAAAAAGTCAATTTTTGTCAATTGCCACCGCGTCACTCGGTGGCAATTGACGCTACCATATTTTTATTAGTCTGAAACCCCCCTACTCTTGGGACCAAAACCGGCGAATAACAATTGTGGGGTGGGAACTACCGAAAAGGCGTCCATTAGCTGACTGCTTGTTACATGGAGTTAGGGAAGTACTTCTATAACGAGCGACCACCCCATCAAACGCTTGTCCTAAACCTACCCCTACCCCTACCCCTCGTCCTCAATTCTTCTCTGTCTCATAGTGGTCGCTCGTTACGGAAGTCCTCCCGGAGTTGGAGCTAACGAGAGCACACTACACTGGCTTCTGATTGGCTAAAATATATCAATGAAACGACGTCACGAGGACGATAGCCTACACCGGCTTCTGGTTGGCTAAAATGATCTAAAATCCAGTCATTTTGACTACCGGTATCTATTTTACAATGACTTGATTAACATGGCAGTCAGTAGAACAATTATAGTTGACGCAGGGGGTAGATACTAGTGAACTACTTTGCAGTTTTTATCTGTACTGATCTTTGCCTGGTCTCTGCTCTACAATAGAGGTCACCAGCAGAACTGTGTAGCTGATCAGGTAGGCATGGCGACTCGCACCTTCCAATCCTCCCCAAAAATCATGATTTGCGATTGCCATGCCAATGCACGTTTGATGTTTACAAATAAGTGTGTGATGAAATTACCATCTCCATTCAACCTTGTGGATTTGGGGTGTGATGAGATGACTGTGATGTCTACAGGTCTTTAAATTTACGTCTGTAATTCTTACCTTGTTTTGTCCTCATCCCCTCTAGAGTTTGGAGTCTACCTTGCTGAAATCACTGTTGATGTCCAGGGCCCCCTAGCCATTCGTCAGCTGGCATCAGTATTGTTGAAGCAGTATGTACAGTGCCACTGGTCGAAACAGTCAGACAAGTTTATCTCTCCAGAAGCAACAGATGCGGTAAGTGGGGAAATATGTCTTCTCGATAAATTAATAATAATTAATTTAATGTTTTGATTCATTTCAGTTTTATAGCTTTTTCTGTCACAAATTTGGCGGGGATGAGACCGAGGCAAAGGGTGTGTCCTGGAATTATTAATAAACAGAGGCACAAAATGTTCCTGTTCATAGACTACTGCATCCCTTGCCTTTCAAACTATTAAGGCATGTTTTATTATTTCTTGTTGTATTTCATACAATTTAATTCGTCAAGTGTCCATCTTTATGGTGCATTGAGTTTTCAAAATCTTTATTGATGGGTAATGGTCCATAATGTCCGATTTTGATTTGAAGTAAATGTATAGTTGTTGCTATGTTGAAGCTATTTTTCAAGGTCAGAATTGATTGTTTCAGGCGAAAGCTCACATTCGACAACTGCTGCCCCAAGGCCTGTCCGAGTCCATCAGTAAGGTGCGCTCGAGCATCGCCTACGCTATTTCAGCAATAGCACACTGGGACTGGCCTGAACTATGGCCGGACCTATTTCCTCTCCTCATGCAAGCGCTGACAAGTGGCCAGCCTAATGCAGTCCACGGTTCAATGCGAGTTCTCTCAGGTACGCTGAAGGGGCAGGAAATATGATCGCGGTTAAGCACAAGTGGGCTATCCCGAAAAATGCTGTTTTGAGAAAATCAAAGTTAAAGTTTTTGGATCCTTATTCAGTCTCTTTAAAAGACAAGGAGATTTTTCTCTATATAATCAAACAAATATACACACCAGTGAAACCAAACTTCTCCTATAGGTAGGGCAATACTCACTTTTGGTATAGGTCAAGATTTCTGGAAACTCCCGAAATCTGGGTTAGCTCGCTTGTCCTTAAAAGCGACCGTATAACAAGTTGTTTGGGACCTGGCCTGTGCATTTTCAGAGGGTTTTAGGTTTTGAGATTGATATTTGGGTCAACACTTGGAGCTAAAAAAAAGTATGAATGATGGGAATATCTTTCAAAGAAACCACAATGATCGCTTTTTTCTGCACATTTGATGAGGCGTTTTTAACTTCAGGAATACCTGTTTGGGTGCCAAGTTAATGTAGGTATGGTCAGAAGTTTTATTTTCCTTCAGCCTCAGTCTTAATCTGGCTTAGTAAGGCTCTAGACTACTTGAAAAAGTAAACATGTCTGCAGTCCCATTTGTGTATATGTAGGGGTACTAACCTGATGGACCTTAGCATGGCTGCCTTTATTATTCAGTGCTCCAAACACATGCTGGGGGGGCTCAAGTGCACAGGTCTCGGGGGAGGGGGGGGGGGTTGAAGTCTGAGCAGTTGAAAGTTGATTTGGGAGATTTATTGCCGTGGAAAAGTCCCTTTTCAGAACTGAAGCTGTTTGTTAGATAAATGATTATATGAACAATCAAAAATGACATGTGGTTACGGAAAGTAAAAAAATAGGTGATATATATCGTCAGAAAGTTGTTCAATTGTCAAAAGCTCAGAAAGCAAAATTTTTCAAGGGAGAATAAAGACTGTCTCATACTTTTGAAAATTGTACCTTCATTGTGTATCTCTTTCCTTGCTTTTTTTTAACATCTAGAATCTGAATTTGGACAAACAATTTCTTGAGCACATGCAGGCAATGCAATGCCACAAATTAAGAAACTGCAATTTAAAATAATAAAAAAATTGGGGATGTGTACATCTGAACAGCAGGCTGTCATTATGAAAATCAATTGTGCTGTGATCTGAAGAAATGTAGAAGGGGAATGGGGAGTATAATTTCCATGCACATTTTTTTTTTTGGTAATCACTGTCAGGAATTCATAAATTTTCTCTCCTTTTCCAAGCATTATATTATGTCATTGGTTTTATACATGGTGCAATCAGTAAGCAATTTTTAGCTGTGATGTCTTGATGATTCTCTGTTTCAGAGTTCTCCCAGGACGTGACAGACACTCAAATGGGTCACGTTGCTCCCATCATTCTGCCAGAGCTGTACAAAGTGTTTATTGGTGCTGAGGTGTGTATGTGTATGTTTTCATTCGTCTCCTCCTTGTAGCATGATTGTGTTCAGTCAGCACAGGAGGTTGGTGGGCACTGATGTTGTTTAATCTTTCTGCTTCTTTTTAGTGTAAGTAATTCGCTGAATCTTGAAATACTGGTCTGTATTTAACTATAGCATTCCTGTATAAGAATAAAGATCCACGAAGTGGTTGGTTGGCGGGTGCTCTGGTGCGGTTTGCTTCTTCTTTCCTGTCAAACACGTATCATCCTTATCTCCCCTTGTTCTTTTTTGTTTGTTACTCTCTTGCACCACCGCAAATCTTCTGGCGCTCATATGACCTTATGCAGTGGCGAGCGCAGTAAAACCTCTACTAAAACTAAACAAAAAAAAAGATCCACGATGGGGGATTGGTCCTTGTTGGTCCACCTGCCTCAGATGGAAATGGGGGGCTATGCATCCAAAATTTATTCCTCAAACTTCACAAATTTTGTCCCGGGCCGAGGTCAGAAAGAGTCGAATGAGGTGGTGAGAAAGCAGAGAGGCGAGTAACAAGATTTTATGGGGTGGGGAAAGGTATGGCTCGACTGCAAGGAATTCAGGTCCTCTCCGATTACAATGTGATCTCTAAACCAATTCTTTATTACACTGTTTTGGTAATAGTAGTAAAATAGATTTTTCGCAACATATTTGATTGTATCAGATTGCTCTTCTCTTTCTTCTGCTTGGAGTTATGATTTTATTAAAAAGGACAAGGTGGTTCGCTGGTGTTCTGGTGTGGTTTGCTCCTTCTTTCCTATCGAACATCTATCTTCCTTATCTCCCCTTCTTTTTTATGTTTGTTACTCTCTTGTAACACCTCTAATCTTCCAGCGCTCATATGACCTTATGCTGTTGCGAGCGCCATAAAACCTCTACTAAAACTAAACCTGACAGGGTAGGGGGAATACACCATAAATGCGTACTGAAGTTTGATGTTTGACTCGGTTTTCTGTTTACTGGTGGTAACCCTTTAACACATAAGTTGTACAGGCCACAAGAGGAACTAGGCCCAGTATGTGATAGATAACCAAGTGTCATGTTATCGAATAAGGAGACTGGTGGTAACAGAAGTAGTGTGTTCACTCACCATAAATGTTTCTTGACTCCCTGAGAAGCACGTCCTGATTCACATGATGTTGTGTTTTTCAGTCTTTTGGAGTGAGGACAAGGTCAAGAGCTGTGCACATTTTCAACATTGTGGCTGGCATGGTTTCTACCATGCAGGAGTTCCAAAAAGTGAGTATTTCCTTCTTGCGTTTGCGTTGAATGAGTTGATGAGTACTCTGCTGTTTTCAGTCGTTGTGTTATTTCTGTGACATGCTGAAACAGTAGTGTTTCTGGGAAGCCCTTTTGAAAATTTGGTTTCAGGCTTCTATACACAGCTCAGATTTATATACATAACTCTTCGTCCGATTTCTCGGAGGGTCAGCACAACAACAACATTTCAACAGAAGTGTATAAGCATAAAATAATTTGCAATGTTTGTGGTGAAGATCTGTGGCGTTTTAATCTTGGGATTGTTGTGTGGGGAATACTGTATTGTAGTGTGTGCCTTTTACTTTTTTTTTTCAATATTGCTATTGTCTTAGTCCACCTCCTGGCTAAATGTGGTGACTATTGCACCACTTTGTCCGGCAAACTCGGATCAATTTACTTGACGAATTTAGTTGACATTATGACTGGGCTTTTTTTTTTTAAGGGGACGATGGCGCTTTTCCATTACTTAAGAACTAAGTAATTTAGAGGGATTTAAGCAGTTCTCCACATTGAGATGAAAGTTGTGGGTTTTTGGGCTAGAGATTCTTCCTGTTTGATATCCTGAATTGTGTGGAGATTCCAACTGAAAACGGCCACTTGTCTCCTTCCTCAGGGGGTGGCCAAGCAACTGTTGTTCCCCGTGGTGCCACAGTTCACCAAAGCCTTCATCCAGTGCCTGCAGCTCCCTGACTCCCACACCTGTGACAGCGGACTCAAACTGGAGGTCATCAAGGTAATGGGTTTTATTTATTTATTGATTCCTTTAGTGGAGAGGGGGTGGGGTGGGGTGTTAGCTTGCATCTCTATTGGGTTTTTATTTGAACTTTAGTTTTGCCTTGAAAATGTCACAGTGCATTTCTTAAGATTTAAACGGGTCAGAGACACATTAGTTGCTAGATCTACTCGGACATGTTATGCAAGAACCGGATCCTGAGAAATTTCCTTTATGGAATTCTGAGTACATTTGGTTTCTTCTACATGTCTCTGATGTCTCTGACCCTATGGAATGCTTTCGTCTGCTGTCTTCTTTATGCAGTTTTGATGAGTTTTGTGTAAAGTGACTCTTTGACTGTTCTTTTAGTGGGTTTTTAGGAGGTGCTAAGCAACTTCTGTGTCAAAGCGGCCTGTCAATGGTCCACTGAAATAATCCTGGTGTAACTCTCAGACGTTCCCCCTGATTGCCACCTGTGGGTGGTGGGTGGGTGTTCAGGTGTGGTTTGCTCCTTCTTACCTATCGAACATATAATCATCTTTATCTCCCATCCTTCTTTTTTGTGTTTGTTACTCCCTTGTAACACCTCTAATCTTCAACATTTATACGACCTTATTGTGTTGCAAGTGCAGTAAAACTCTTACGGAAAGAAAAAAAGTCATTGCCCCTTGTCTGGTCTTACAGGCCCTGACAACACTCATCAAAGGTTTCCCCAAGACCATGGCGCCGTCGCTGCCGGAGATCCTCCCCTCGGTGTGGAGCATATTTACCCAGAGTGCAGATTTGTATCCTTTTGTGGTCCATAGGTGATTTGCTGGTGCTCTGGTGTTGGTTGCTTCTTCTTCCTCTTCTTTCTATCAAACGTCTATTGTCTTTATCTCCCCTCCTTCTTCTCTGTGTTTGTTACTTTCTTGTAACACCTCTAATCTACGCCACTTATATGACCTTATTGTGTTGCAAGTGCCGTAAAACGTTTACTAAAAATGATAACTTTTATGGTCCTCTTGGAAGGGTTTGCTACCCTGTGACAGGGAAGCACTTGAGGTGTAGAAAATTCCAGAAGTTACAGGTAAGAATATGACATTAGAAGTTATGATGGTTTTTTTCTGTAATTACTTTCTTGTGTTTGGCTTTCTCTGTCTTTGTGTATAATGAACCATAAATAACTGCAGCACAATGATAAGAGTGTATGTTGAAAATAAAGTTGTTTAAAAAACTGGCTCTAGAATTGGATTTTAATCAAAGCTGGATATATTTTTAGAAGCAAGTTTTTTTCAGCGAGATGAAAGATCTTTGACACATTCACAATTTGGTAGTTTTTGCCCTTAAAGCATGTCTCCCCGTAGTAATCTTTTGCATTACACTCATTATTTGATTGAGTTGCTTATTATAGCGTCTTAAAATGTTCATTGCTTTCCTGAATTTATGATTAGATATGTCCGGACGGTTGTGAATAATGTGGAAGATGCCGATGATCCTGTGGATTCTGATGGTAAGTCTAAAGAAATTGTTTGAGCCTTACCCAGACGAGAAACTAACTCTCAGTACGAGGGGAACTGACTTGTAGTAAATGTGCCTTGTAGTAGTGTATTTCCTGTACTGGCGATCACAAAAGCTGGTCTGTTGTATGTTGTATACTGCAGAAAAAAGGAGACCATCAAGAATTTGTTGTACTTAATTATACAACCTCTGTGGCTCCCTGCGCATAGCAAATTCTTTACTTCTTTAGTTGAGATGGTAGGTAAAGGTATGAGCCAGTGTTTTCTATAGATGAGAATTGAGGCTTGTAGAGCCTTTTCCCTTTCTAAAATTTATTTATAAAAATTTTAAAATTTTTTTTTGGGGGGGTTGCTTACAATCTTCAATGATTATTGTGTTGTGTCTATACTGTCAAGATTTTGGTCTCTTATTTTGAGGATTTAAGAAATCTGTATTTGCAGGGCAAACTTGTGGATGCTTGTTGAAAGGTTAGGTGTGTTCTGCGCCTTCTACTTCTGTTCAGTGTTTACCATGATGCTGACAGACTTGGTGCTTACCATGATGCTGACAGACTTCCTACTTCTGTTCAGGGCTTACCATGATGCTGACAGACTTCCTACTTCTGTTCAGGGCTTACCATGATGCTGACAGACTTCCTACTTCTGTTCAGGGCTTACCGTGATGCTGATAGACTTCTTGTTGGAATGCTCATGTTGTGCTGACCCTCTGAAAACTGCAGCTCACCTCAACGTAATTATTATAATTTATGCTTTCTTCATTCTCCTCCTCAGGTGACGTCTTGGGCTTTGAAAACCTTGTGTACACCGTGTTTGAGTTTGTCCACTGCCTGATAGAGTCGAGTCGCTATCGAAGCTCTGTGAAGAAAACTGTGGACCAAATCCTTTACTACGTGATTGTCTACACGCAGATTACAGAGGACCAGGTGAGGAAGAGATGTTACTTGAGATGTTACTTGAGATGTTACTTGAGATGTTACTTGAGATGTTACTTGAGATGTTCAGGAGCACTTTCCCTCTTGTCTGGACGTTGAATGAACATTTTTTTAAATGTGACTCGTGGGTGGTTGGTGGTTGCTCTGGTATGGTTTGCTTCTTCTTTCCTATCCAACATCTATCGTCCTCATCTCCCCTCCTTTTTTATGTTTGTTACTCTCTTGTAACAGGTAATCTTTTCTTTGGCACTTATATGACCTTATTGTGTTGCAAGTGCCATAAAACTCTTACTAAAACTAAACTAAATAAAAAATATGTTAAGCTTCGGGTTCAGGGACGTGTCTGACTGTAGAAAGTAGTTGCACTTTTTGTTGGGTTGTAGTGTTTTGTGACTTGCCTTGTTCCTTTATAACAAAATGTCATGTCATGATATAAATCATATTGTCAAGTCAAAGGCTTGGCAGTGCAGGGTTTAAGTTACAATGTGGACTTTGGTGGCATGGTTCAATGAGGGGAGTATTTTGTGCTATATTTGCTCTTTTCCTTTGTCTTTTATTTTTTTTGCTAATATTTATGGTAGGCCTACATATCTCTTTATCTTTTAAGACTATAATTATTTTAGTATATTTGCATGTTATTCTAACTTCTTGGGGTTTTTAAAAAAAACATTTTTTTTTCTTTCCTCAGATTCGTCTGTGGAGCAATAACCCCGACCAGTTTGTCGAGGATGAAGATGATGACAGTTTCTCATACTCAGTGAGGATATCGGCACAAGATTTGTTACTGGTGTGTTGTGTTGTGGGTTTTTGTGTGTGTGTGTGTGTTTTCCTTGAAGTTAAAGTAACAGTGATTTTAACCTAAGATTGCAATCTCACAGACCCTCCTGAATTGCCTTTTTTTTTTTGGACACAAACAACTCGTGACCTCAGTGCTTTCTTGTCGTATCTCCTTTAAAAAAAAAAAAAGTTAAAATGTGACTTCTTCTTAAGTTCACTCTTTGTTATGAACTGTTTTCACCTTGTTATGAAAAATGCGAGATACGACAAGCAAGCACTGGGGTCGCGAACTGTACCGTAATAACGTGACATTGCTCGATAGTTTTACGCACACGACTGGTGGCTGTAGGGACATCAACACAGGCAGGTCGTGTTCAACGGTTATCGTGCATCTGTTTGACATTTTCTGTTTTTAAAAAAAAAACTGGGCTACTAAAGAGCAAGTTATGGTCTTTTGAGTCCCGACACTTTTTTGTACTGAATTTTAAAAAAAAATGTTTTTTCTTGAATTAAGCTTGAATTGATATATTGTATAGCTTTCTTCATAGCCTTTCCAATGTTCGAGGCACTTAAAAAGAAACACTAGCCCAACCTTGGACAGAGAGACACAACTCTCTATGGGAACCCGGGGGACCGATGGCAAACTGCAGCCTTTACACTAGAGACTGGAATGTCCATCGAAAGATAAATGCATGCTCATATGACCTTATGCTGTTGCGAGCGCAGTAAAGCTCTTACTAAAACAAACGAAAAATAAACAAGGAGAAGAAGGAAAAGAAGCTTCCTTCATATAAAGAAATTCTGAGACACCAATGGTGGGCCTGGTCAGAATGAGGAATCATGACAGTGATTTGTGACGATTATCTCAGTGAGAATTCTGCGATTTTAGTGTAGTAATCCCGCAGGAAATGTAACCCCGGACTCGTGTAAAGTTTTGTATGCATTTATGTCTATGTGACTCATGCAGAAACATCCAATCCTGAAGTTCTAATAAGATTTAACTCTTTAAACCCTGTGGGAGCGTCCGGCGGTAATGACCCCTTTCCCTGTTGCCGATACTAGTGTCAACTGTTTCGCTGCATTTAGTGCTAGTTTTTGTTTGTTTTTCGAAATTATTCCCGATCAAGTTTTTTTAGTAATGAGTAAGCCTTTGTTTCTGCAGTTTAGAAGTTGGAGGCAAGCTTTTGGGGTTATAATGAGTCATAGTCCACCAGGTTTAGGTAGTTGTATAAAAAACTCCGGGAAACGGTTGGGAAAAACCTCAATGTTTCACACTTTGCCATAACAAGGCTCATATATAGTAATAACTCTTGCCATCAAAGACGAAGGCATTTGGGGGGAAATCCAAAGAAACTGGGTGGTAAACATTGCTGATCGGCGAGGTGTGACGGCAAAGTGTTAAAGAGTTAAGACAAGTGCTGGTATCGCTCTCTGTTTTTCAGTCTCTGGGCACGGAGTTCCAGAGTGTGTGTCCGGAGGCGCTGTGTCAGGCTGTCACCAAGCACCTACAGGAAGCAGAGGCGGCCAAATCTGCCGGGAATCAGCACTGGTAAGTAAGCCACGCCTCCTTCCTCACTGGCCTTACCGTGTTTCCTAGGTGTATATACAACATGATCAATAACAACATTTACAACAGGAAGAGGTGTCAAATTTCTGGATAAATCCGGATTCCCGAAGTTGTCCAGATTTCATGCCAGTTGTTGAGAATTTGTTGTTTGTTTCATAAAACAGTCTCGTAGTTTTGATATGAGTTGTATTAGACTAAATTACATTACACTGTACACTCAGGCGGTGTGGTCCTTGGTGGGTTTTTTTTGTGTGTTTCTTTTGTCTGATTCTGTTTTGAGTAAAATCTGGATGTCTGTTGTTCCAACTTGTTGTAAAGTACCAACGCTATTTTGTGTGTGTTTGTGCAGGTGGAAAATCCACGAGTCGTGCATGCTTGCGTTGGGCAGTGTGAAGGACATGGTGCTTCAAGCCATCAAGGCGGGCACCGTGCAGTTCCATCTGCCAGGGTTTCTGCAGACGGTCGTTTTGGGAGATATGAACTATTCTGGTAAGGAACGCAGTGAGACCCACTGGTTTGATGTCTCTCTTTGTGATCTCAGAAATGTGTGGAGATTTGCCTCTCATGGCTATAATATTACGTGTGTGAATGGTCTCATAGCTCGGCTATTCTGACTACGAGAGTTGAGCATAGTTTCGTTTCATTAGAAAAGAAGTGTGACTGCCATTTAAAAAGGCCACAGAAAAAGCTTCTACAATGTTATCTGTAACGGGTCTATCCTCTGGGAGTGCCTCTTGTATCATCATGTAGATGTTCAGACTTTTGTAAGCTTTTGGGTTAAAGTCACCATATTGTCGCTCACTTTTTGAGTTAATGTGACCACGTTGTCACTCATTTTTTTGGTTAACGTGACCACATTGTCGCTCACTTTTTAAAAAATATAGTGTAGTATCTTTTTGAATTCCCTAAAAATGTTGAAGAAAACATCGGATTGAGCAGATGACCAGAGACTATACACCTATAGGATTGGGTTCTAAGTCTTTCACAATTTCTCTCCCCCCCCCCAGTTTCGCCGTTCCTGACGGGTAGATGTTTATGGACGGCCAGTAGGTTCACAGAAGCTATGCCTCCTGAACTCATTGAAAAGTAGGTGACATATGCTTGTTATAAGGACTATACTCCTCTTCTCTCTCCATCCCTCCCTCTTCCCCCCTCTTTTCTTTTTTTTTTTTTTTTTTCTTTTCTGTCTTTCAATGTCAAGTCACATTTGTGTTTCTTCTCTCTAAAGGTAATAAACTCCTTCCAGCATTATTTTGAGTAGTAATGAAGATATATATGAGAATGAGAGATAAAAATACAGATTGGTTGGAGTGTGAAGACTTATTTGCAGTTCATGTTTTTGGTGCTGGAGAGATATAATATTTAAGAAATTATTTTTTCTTTGAATTTGTTGTTTAGAATACTGACACTTTTACTCTGGAACACAGAAACAAAGCATGACCTGCCATGTTTTTGTGCCTGTTCTGGGCTTAATCTGTTGATATGTTTGAAAAGCAAAACAAGAAAAGTGAAGATTAGAATAAAAGATTGATTTTTTTTTTTCTTCCTTGAGTGTTGTCCTTTTGACCTTACAGGATGGAGGGGTTTTTTTTTCAGTTTGAAGGCAAGTTCTTTTGTTTCTTATTTTATTATCTTGGAGCAACTTTACTCCCTCAACCGCCCCCTATCAAGACTTGGGTTATATTTCTCGTCTAGAATGCTCCAAGCTACAGTCGGAGGCCTGCACATGACCCAGCCGGCGAGCATAAGGATTTCGGGGGTGCGAGCTGTTTTTGGGTTCTGCGACCACTTGAAGACGTCGGGGAACACACAGTTGCTGACCCCGTACCTGCAGAATGTTCTGGAAGGTTTGATCGGCGTTGCCACCCAGTTCTCCGTGGAGGTGATGGGGCTCTGCCTGGAGACGTTGGCTGTTGTTATCACAGTGAGTGGGGAAGTTTGTTGTTTTGTTACTACACACACGCGGGCATACACGCGCACACGCAGGCACACACACACACTCACTCACATATACACACACACACTTTGGGAAAAGTGCTTTACTTTAATTTACAGATTTGGCTTAGTCCTGTTGGAGATGGACATTAAATTCGGATGTTCGGTCTCTCAGATAACCTAACAGTGTTTGGTGTGAAACTTAGATAATTTTGCACAATTTGCGAAGACAAAAAGGTTTATGAGTTATGAGTAATGTTTTGAGCCCATGTTGATGTGTTTCATTAGGTCAAGTTTACCCTATCTTGGTCTGCTGTAATGCTTCTGTTCATAGGTGAAGGCTTTCAGCTGGTGTCTTTCACTTCCATCTCAATGGTTCTGTTAATCTTTTGTCTGCTTGGTGATGACATATTCCATCTCAATGGGTGGTTGGCGGGTGCTCTGGTGTGGTTTGCTCCTTCTTTCTTATAAAAAATCTATGGTCTCTATCTTCTCTCCTTTTTTGTGTTTGTTACTCTCTTGTAACTCCTCTAATCTTCGGCACTTATATGACCTTATTGTGTTGCAAGTGCCGTAAAACTCTTACTAAAACTAAGACATATTCCATCTCAATGGTTCTGTTAGTCTTTCCTCTGCTTGGTCAGGACATTATTGACAACGTCATAGAACATAATGTAATTGTATTTTCTCGTCAGGTTGATGAACAGTTTGCAGCTACAAACGAGGCAAGAATCGGCCCTCTGTCCTTGGCCATCTTTCTGAAACACGCTGGTGGTGAGAGTTGAACATTTCTCTTTTTCTGTGAAAGAAAATGATTGTATGTCGTCTAATTTGTATTTTTTGGCCATTTCTTTCTCCAATAAAGAAATGCACTGTATAACTCTTAAAAAATACTTTATGTCATGATACTTTTCGTCCTCGTTTTTTCATGAGACTGGGAGGGATGAAGGTGCTTGGGGATGCTCATCAGCAGAGACAGAAATATGGGAATTGTAAAATTGAATTGAGCATCAGACAGGCAGTTTCACTCTGTGTGTGTGTGGGGGGGGGGGGGGGGTAAATTGGAATGATTGAACAAGCTGTTCAAGAAGTTATGTGAACTTGTTTTAGCCTTCAACCAGAAGCGGGAAAATGATTAACTGCCCCATTTCACCTTTTCACTTTCATGTAATGTATTTTTATTCTCACGAGCTTTTGCGGGAAATGTTTGTCTTGCTCTCTTCTAGATTCTAGAACCCCGAAAGCCTTTCTAGAGGTATTATTTGTATATTTTTTGAAAATGAGAAATTGATTTGTGTTCTCATGGGAGTTCATTGATTTGTTCTTGTGATTACAGTTGCACTGAAAGATGAAATAATTTTTGTAAATGTCTTCCTCAGACCCTTTCATCGTATCTCTGGTCCAAGATATCGTCAAGGTCATGGCCAGTAACCCATCATGCACCGCTGCCATCCAGGGAAGATTCGTCCCGACCCTCAACAGTATTCTCAACTCCGACTCGGAGAAACTCTCGCCAGGACTGGTCTCGGTATGTTGTAAGCCGAGTGCTGTCTTGTGCTGTCTCTCATTTCTGACTTTGATGGGGTTTTGTCTGATACTGTTCGGGTGTTGGCTGACGGTGTTGGCCCCAGTTGTGGAGGTTTAATGTCTGTGTTCTGTACAATTTTGCTCTCATTTACAAAACAAACATGTAGGTGGTTGGCGGGCGCTCTGGTATGGTTTGCTTATTCTTTCCTGTTAAACATCTATTGTCGTTATCTCTCCTCCTTTTTTAATGTATTTTACTCTCTTGTAACACATCTATTCTTCTGTACTCATATGACCTTATTGTGTTGCAAGTGTTGTAAAACTTGTACTAAAACTAAAAACAAAATGATGGCAAAATTCCTTTTTCATATGCAGCGTTCCTATTTGTATATCAACTAAACGGAGTTTGCTCTCTCTCGATTTGTTTTTTTAGTTTCTAGGTAAAGGTAAAAAAATAGTTGTGTAGGAATCTGATCTGCTGAAAGGACTTTAATTAAGAGGATTGTGGTGCGATTGTTTTCTCTCTGTCAGGTTTCGGTGGAGATGGTGACGTGCCTTGTGCGGAGCGTGACTGTCCCGCTGTCGGACACCATGATGTCTTGCTTCATGCCCGTCATCCACGCCCTGCTCACCTCCGACGACAGCTCCACGCTACAGGTAACTCATACACCACGCCAGACATTGTGGGGTTGTATAGCTCAGTTATAACTCACACGTCATGCCAGGCATTGTGGAGATGTTTTAGCTCGGTGATAACTCTTTGCTTTAGGAATGATCATGTTCAAAAGTGATAACCGAAAGATGTCAGGTTGATGATACATCCTTTTCATTTGTATCCAAAGCTTAAAGAGCGCGATTAAAACAAAATTCCACATAAGTGTAATGGTATCTAAAAATTTTCAAAATTGTTCTTTTTCCGGAATGGACATCTGATTTGTGATATTTGGAAGGACTTAGACCCCTTTTGTTCTCGTAGGAATTTTGTGTGAGTAAATATGTCAGTTCAGCCGCTGTCACAGCTGTTTATTTGTGAAGATCGCAACCAACAAACGGGACCTGCTTGCAACTGAACAAAATATCCCATCTGAAATTAAAAATAAACGCAAAAAGCTTTGTCTGTACATTTTCTCTCAAGGTGCAATTTCTTTCGGTACCATATAGCTAGGTTGTTGATGGTTAAATTAAAATTTGGTGGAACAAATGAGTGATTGCGTTTGTTCTGATAGTTTGCAGGTCATGCGCTGTCAATTCTGCATTGCCAGTTTTTTGTGTTGTTGGTTTATGTTGTTTAGGTACAACCAAGAAAAATTTCCCTCTGGGATAATAAAGTAGTATCTTATCTTATCCGAGGTTACCGAAGGGGACGGTTTTCTATTGTAAGTAACATTTCCCTGGTTTGTCCCACAGAGCGGCGGGGAATGTCTGCGCGCCTACACCAGCCTGGCTCTGGATCAAGTGATAGCTCTCAAAGATGACTATGGTAGGTCAGGCTGGGCTTTGGCCACTGACTTTTTACTTTCTTGGATTATAAAAACTATTTTAAAAAAACCCCAAAAATTTAACGTTGTTTGGGGGGGGGGCGGGGGGGAAGATGATGTCTCTTGGATTGATAGAAGTGTACTAAAAGAAAGGAGAATTGATAGACTTAAGGATGATGCTTGTTTAAGCTGAACTCTTTCCTAACCAGAACAATATGCTGACCATGACCAAGCTATTCTGATCGCCATTTTGTCCTACCTCTGTAACTGTGAGCAGGAAAAAAAATACAATTAAAGAATAAGTTTTAAGAGAAATTCACATTTTTTTAATATATCAAAAGTGTGGGGAAATTAATTTTCTATCAGATAATGCACAGAAGATAAGTAATGTGATCGTAAAATAATGGTTTGTTTGAGTCTGAAGACAAGACAAGACTGATTTCATAATGAACGACTTTGTATAGCAATGACAATGAAAAATTAAATTTTCATCCAAATTGCTTAAAAATGGACTTAAATGAAAATAGAGTAAATTCTAAGAACTATGGTTTTTAAAAATTAAAAATCCATTGATAAATTTAAAAAGTTATTGGGATTTTTGTTTGCAAAATGTTGGAGGACCTTCATATAGGAAAAAATCGCCAAAATGTGGGACATGTTTTGATGTATTTTGAGGAAAAACTGTTCGTAAGTCAGTAATGAATTGGAGCATATGAATGAAACTTGGCATCTCCATGTGATTTTTAGTGCCGAATCTAGTTCTGCTATCACTTTTTGGATGTCTTCATTACTTTAGATCTTAAAGACTGATATTTGCGTGAAATTTGTTGAATTGCGTGACATCGTTTTTACCGCGACGCGATCACCCCTTCTAAAACTCAGTAAAGAGCTGTCGGGAAAACCCGCGATGTAGTCATCGGTGACCCATTTTGGTTATAGGCAACCAATCACATGCCGCCTAAGGATCACGCGCCTCTTGCGTGCCGGCACCTCGCGTTTGGAATGCGCTATCAAGTTTCTAGATCTAGGGTTTTATCAATGGATGGGTGGTAATTTTAAGTTGGTATGGAAAATCTACTAAACGCAGAGATCTGAAATTTTACAGCAATAAAGAAGACATGTGGGGCGCTTGTGTGGTCGGCGATCAACCCGCAGCTCCGCTTAGTTTTCGAACCGCAGAGGAAATTTGCACAAACACGGCATTTGCACAAACACGGCATTTGCACAAACACGGCAATATCTCCGGTTCTAGTAATCGTTCGGGATTGTACCCTGGCATGTCGTTAGTTTAACCTTTCCTCTGGTTGGTTGCCGAGTTTCATTTATTAAACTTAGAAGAGAGTCACTTCTGATTCCGAGCGGCCCAAAAAATACCCCTCGCGCGGAGGCCGATTTCCGGCACAAGGCGCAGCGGGCGATTGGCATTGCTACTTTGTACTTATCAATATTTAAATATCGCAAAAGTGTGTTTTCCGAGACCACCACAAATTTAATTCTGTTATGCTGTTTGATTTTAAATATTACTCGAATGCTAGTGTAAATGATTAGTATATGTGCCATTTGATGTTTTGGCATCAAATGGCAAAGAGAAGCCTTGAACTGCGGAGGATGGTAGAATCTACTGACGGGGTTTAGTATGTCTCTTGCTCCCAGACAACAACGGCATGCACTACACGGTGCAGGTGATCTTCAAGCTGCTGGACCCCAAGACCTCGGAGCACACCGCCACGTTTGTCGGCCGCCTGGTGTCCACTGTGATCGGCAAGTGTGGCACGCAGCTCGGGGAAAACCTGGACCTCATGCTGAGGGCTGTGCTGAGCAAGATACAGCAGGCGGAGACCTTGAGTGTGTTACAGGTGAATCCTTTACATATAATATAGAAAATGTATCCCCTCCCCATCCCTTACCTAGAAAATGTCTACAAATTTCTCCTTGAAACCTCTTTGAATTTGGTGGGGAGTTCATGGCAGGACCCTGTCACATGTGTGAGCTCTTCTCATGAAAACAGTCAAGTATGCGGGTGTTTAGAGGGTGCTAGAGGGGAATTCTTGGATTTGTGTTATACAGATGCTATCTGTTATTATGGTTCAGAGCCTGCTGATGGTGTTTGTGTGTGTGTGTGTGTCGATCAACTGATGGTGTATGTGTGTGTAGCTGAACTGATGGTGTGTGTGTGTCGCTCAACTGATGGTATTTGTGTGTGTGTCACTCAACTGATGGTGTTTATGCGTGTGTGTGTGTGTTGCTCAGAGCCTGCCGATGGTGTTTGTGTGTGTGTGTGTCACTCAACTAATGGTATGTTTGTCTGTGTGTGTCGCTCAGAGCCTGCTGATGGTATTTGTGTGTGTGTCACTCAGAGCCTGCTGATGGTGTTTGTGTGTGTGTGTCACTCAACTAATGGTGTGTTTGTCTGTTTGTCACTCAGAGCCTGCTGATGGTGTTTGCCCACCTGATGCTGTCCCAGCTGGAGGCCGTGCTGGATTTCCTGACCAGCGTGCCCGGCCCCACGGGGAAGCCTGCCCTAGAGTTTGTGCTCAACGAGTGGTGCTCCAGACAGCACCTCTTCTACGGCAGTTACGAACGCAAAATCAGGTGGGTGTGCAGCGTATGAATTCAGAAAGTTTTTATAGGTGGTAACAGTCACAAAGTATGTACGTCTGTTTTAGTAGAGGTTTTACGGCACTCGCAACTGCATAAGGTCATAGGAGCGCCAGAAGATTAGATTTAGAGGTGTTACAAGAGAGTAACAAACATAAAAAAGAAGAAGGGGAGATAAGGACGATAGATGTTTGATAGGAAAGAAGAAGCAAACCACACCAGAGCACATGCCAACCACTCACTATGTACGTCATAAATTTCACAGTTTTATTTAAGATTGCTGGAAAACTTTGCATTGCGTATCAATAATATCGTTTTGGAGTGAAAATTACAAGGTACATATACGACGCTGTATCTGGGAAAGTGATTTCTGACTCACAGTTTGTGACTGTTCCTGTCGCTAGAGCTCAGCTCTTGATTTTGTTTATGGAACTCTTTTTTTGTTGTTGTAATGCTTTGTACGGTATAATGACATTGCTCAAGAGGAGCGCCTGTCTAAGATGACCTATTCTCCTCGACAGTGGGTGGTTGTCTTGGACAGGTTAGACTGTACCTCAAGTTCCCTTAGATCGAGAGTTGGTCCTTCATTCACTGGCAAGAAAGCTGATAATAATAGTGGTAGAGAGAATGCTCAACAATTTCATAAATGTTTGATTACTTCACTTATACATGTATTACAAGAAAATGTACATGGTTTCACTGTCTGTAAGTCATGTTCTCTTTATGTGAGTTATCGTGCTGAACCTGTACTTCACACCTGTTCCTCTCCACAGTATCCTGGCCCTGTGTAAGCTGATGCAGCACGCCATCGCCCACAACGACCTCCGGCTGCAGGACATCATGGTGCAGGGGGAGCAGGTGCTGCCGCAGGGGCAGGGGATCCGAACACGCTCAAAGGCCAAGAACGGTGAGTTCCGGCTCGGTCAAAGAAATACTTGTGTGTGTGTGGGGGCGCTCTGGTTGAGCAAGCAAAGTCTCTAACTTCATACCCGCCTACATGGACCAAAGTCGACCGTTGCACGAACCTTCCTGAGCATCTATCTGGACCATTGTTGCCCACTAGTTTTATACTCATGACTAACCACCCTTCCCTCCTGGAAGACACTTCACTGTCTGCCCAGCTATTTATTACTGTTCACCGTCAACCCAGCTATTTATCACCGTTCACCATCAACCTAGCTATTTATTACTTTAAGTCAAGTGTCTTGTCTCTAGACTAAGGAGTCCCTAGTCAAAGAATTTGATCCCTGTTGCATATATAAAAAGGATTATCTCTGTAGTTTAAGGTAGGTGGTGGGAGAGGAGAGGGGTAGGCTACATATTAGACTTACTTTCTTAATTCCTTTATATGGATGTGTGACTGACTTGCTAAATCAGTTGATAGCATACATTTCCCAGATTGATTTTGTATGCTGGATAATTTCCATGTGTTGCATTTCTGTGTTGTCCTCAGCTCCAGAACAATGGACCACCGTTCCTGCTCTAGTCAAAATCTACAAGCTGATCATCAATGAACTCTCAAACGCCATAGAAGAAACCATTACGCATAACGATGATGATGATGAGGAGGTGAGTTGATGAAAGACTTTGTGGGAAGCTCCTCTGTCCTCCCTTTTCTCTCAATGTGAACTCCACAGGCTGCCAGGCCACTTGAGACTTCTGTAAAGATGGGATTACACAAAGCAGCTACCCGTTCCTGGTACATATGTAGCAGTGGATGAACCCTGTGTTCAATCTATTCTCATCAAAGCCCAACCTGATGCTCAATCTTTCATTTCTCTATAATTTACAATGCTTTTTGTCCATCTTGTTTGTTTGTGTTGAAGAAGAGACAGAAAAATGTCTTAGAGCAGAGTCTTTCTGTGAGACGACCCTTTTGTTTCTAGAAGGGCGTCGAACTGATACACTTCTAATGGTCATGGAGGGTGACCTCATTATTTGACTTGTACGTAAATACCTTTTTTTGTTTAGTTAGCACAGAGACTCGTGATATGAAGAGATAACAGTTTCTGTCATCAAAGCGTTATGATTTGTTAAGTGTGTCTTTTTTTTTTTTTTTCATTCCAGGAAGATGGAGATGATGAGGGTGTTGATGATGACATAGATGATGATGAATTTGCTCTAAAGGGGCATTCTATATCTGACATGCTCAACAATCTGGACTATGAAGGTGGGTTACGATGTTAGGGGTACTACTTCACTTTTTTACGTTGTCTTTTTAGGATGCTCCACTTGTGCTCTTTTCCTTTTATGACACTACTTGTTTTTTTTAAAGATGTTTTCTCCCTCTCTGGGCCACCGCAGGGAGACTGACAGGCCCCGGGAATTTGAGGAAATCTATAAGTTGCTCTTGGAAAAGGCCGGGAAGACTCGGGAACATTCATAAAGTGCTCGGATTTGTTTTTTAAAAAAATAGAGCCCTGTGGAGGGGACAAAGGAGGTGAGGGGGTTTGGGTTAGAAATTGGAGACGAAAACAGACGACAGAATTTTGCTAGAGAGCAGGAAAGAAGGTGAAAGGAGACAGTTTTAGACAAGAAAATTTTTCGGTTGCTACCCGGATTTGGAGCCAGTACCTTTTGAATGAGAGGTGAACACTTTAACCTCTTGGCCACGAAAGCCTTCAAGATGGTCTTTGTACTTCTCGGAGGGTGTTACAGGCCTCCAACTACGGCCAGCCCATACATGACCTAAGCAAGTTGAAAGGCTGTATAATAAAAGACCTGCTGAAATACAGCACAAAAGATGTTGTAAAAATCGCTGACTAGAAATGGTTTCAAAGACTTATTGAGTTTCTTTTCTTTATCCTGGCAGGGTTTGCGGTTGACGATGATGACGATGATGACCCTGATGCCAAGAATGACCCTAACTATCAAATCAATACTCAGGTAAGACTTATCTTGGATGAGGGGCACGTTTTCTTCTGCCATGCTATCTTCCGACTGTTCTCTCCTGCTATCTGCTATCTTCTCGAGGCGTTGACCATTGCCTGTGTCCTCAGCTGTTCTTTCTTCTGTAGGAACTTTGTGGAAACTCCAAGCTCACCGTGGATGGTCGGCGAGCACTCTGGTGTGGTTTGCTCCTTCTTCCTATCAAACAGTTATGTGGGTGGTTGGTGGGTGCTCTGTTGTGGTTTGCTCCTTCTTCCTATCAAACAGTTATTGTTCTTATCTCTCCTCCCTCTGTTATTTGTATGTTACTCTTTAGCTGCACTTCCGTGACCTATCTTTGTTGTAAATGCCGTAATACTTTCACTAAAACTACATGTGTTCAGTGGGTGGATGGCGGGTGCTCTGGTGTGGTTTGCTCCTTCTTTCCTATCAAACATCTGTCGTCCTTATCTCCCCTCCTTTTTTGTGTATGTTACTTTCTTGTAACACATCTATTCTTCGGCACTTATATGACCTTATTGTTTTGCAAGTGCCGTAAAACACTTACTAAAACCAGACTAAAACCAAAACATCCATATCTCTCCTTCTTTTTTGTGTATGTTACTCTCTTGTAAAACATCTATTCTTTGGCACTTTAATGACCTTATTGTGTTGCAAGTGCCGTAATACTCGCACGAAAAAGAAACAAAATTATTGTTCTCCCTCTGTTCTTTGTATGCTACTCTTTAGTAATCTCTGTAATCTGCTGCACCTCTATGACCTATCTGTGTTGCAAATGCGGCAGAACTTTCACTTTAACTACGCAATGCTCACCTTTGCCTAACCGTGTGAGCCTTTCCCCGACAGACGTACCTGACGGAGTTCCTGCAGTCGCTGTCGGGCGAGCCGTGTTACGCCATGTTCAGCCAGCACCACAACGCCCTGGAGAGACAGGTCCTGCAGGCTATCAACATCAACACGTGAGGACGACCCTGCGCCGCCGCCGGACCGACCCTGGGATGTCCTCAAAGTGCTTGGGACTCTCGCAACTCTCAAAACTACGGAATAGCAGCTTGCAGGAACTTTTTTAACGTATGCATGATTTGCCTTTTTTTTTTCACCCCTTCTGTTTGGTTGCTTGTGAGCGAGCATTATAATTTCTAATCTTCCAGTTCGAATGGAGAATGGTTGTGCTTTTTCTGGGGATGTTTCGCCATGAGGAGCCACGTTGTTGTTTCACCGGAATATTCTGGAGAATAACTACGGGATTATAAATGTATTGAGCAGGGATTTTCGGTGTCGTTTTGGGTAGTGAAGGCAGATGTGTGAATGTGGAATGCTGCATGCAATACCTGCTTTCTTCATGCCTCGCTTTATTATTTGACAATTGATTGGGTTGGTTGAACAAATGATCTGCTGGACAGTTTCCCTTTTCCCCTGACTGGGAGATCAAAAATGGCGTGTGCAATAACAATTTCCGGGGTCAGGCATGTTGGGGCTGTCGCGAAGTGTGTCAAGTTTTAAGCATTTAGAATTCTAGTTTTAGAAAGTTTACGCACTTTTACGGCACGTGCTACACTTTTAGGTTATAAAATTGCCGAAGATTAGAGATGTTACTGAAGAGTAACATATTATGTAGAAAAGGAGGAGGAGAGATAAGGATTATAGTTGTTTTATTGGTAAAAAAGGAGTAAACCACACAAGAGCGCCTGCTAACCACCTACACAGAAAGTATAAGGGCATTGTCCACTTGGCACATCTTACTATGGGAGAAGAAGTGGTGGTGTGAAGAAGCTATAGATCTAGTCTTTGTTGATATTCCTTTATTGAAACTACTGCGTTTTTAAAGTAGTGTCTGCATGTTTCTGTTTGACTCAAAATGTTATTTAACACACTACACCCTAACTTGACCGCAAATTCTCGCTGCGACCAAGCATCTTTAGAAACCAGGTCTCGCTTTGACGACACTATGGAGCCGAGATTTTTATTTATATAGTTATTGCAAAATGTTTCTTCTTCCGTTTGATACCGAAACGAAATTTTTCGGGCCAGTCGAAGGTGTCTCGACTTGTTGAAAAGCAACACAACTGAGTTTGAATAAAGAAATAATGATGGATTTCAGCAAAAACAAGCATACGACAAATCAGATATTGATGAAGACATTGTAGCAAGAGTTATGGGCGATTCAGATTTATCAGAGGTAGAATTTAGATCTAAGGCCGGGGTGAGAGTGATGGGTCAGACTCCCCGATTGAACTAAAGTTAGAATATTTCCCACCGTTTGTGCATACATAGTTATATTTTTCTGAAATTACATTTAATTCTCTTTCTAACTAATTTTTTCTGGATTTTGGGAATTTTAGTATTTTTTAAACGCTTATATTCATGGGATTTGGGTTCCTTCCCCTTTCTTAGGATCTAGGAATGGACTTCCCGTCCAGGCCCTTTTCTAGTTATGTCCCTTTGCATAGTACTTGTGAAATGCCAGCGGGTAAGGCTTTGATAATCAGGGTGGAATGTGGAATTCTTTTTGTTTCATAAATAGGCTACACTGTGTGTGCAGCATGGGTGAAAGTGACAAGAGACGATTTAGCCTCAAAATTCTGTTGTCAGAGAACTGATAACCTGAGAAGTTCATGGTAAATTCCACGCAGCCTGAAAACATTAGGATCAACGCAAATCGCCTGTTTAGTGCTATACATGTAGCCTAGGCCTATCAATAATTTTCCAAGTACAGTTGTGCTCAGTATGACAAAAATACTATAGTTTGATCTCAAGTATTCTCAAGTTAATTGACCCACCTCTTTTTAATTGATCAACATGCTGCTCCTGTAAATGTCTGTCGAGTCGAGTTTGCAGAGTAGCCGGTCAGTGGATGAGGACAAAATCAGAAGTATAAGTATAATCCAGTGTTTGGGAGAAGCATAAAATCCATGTAGTCCAGAAAAGCATACACAGAGATCAGAAAAGCATACACAGAGATCAGAAAAGCATACACAGAGATGCCAAATCTCCGGTTTTTTCCTACACTTGCAAAGGAAAGAGGAATGGTAAGAGAAATGTTTTTGTTTGCTCATTTTAAGATTTTACAAAGTACATTTTAGGTTGTTTTTTTTTTAAAAATCATTTGCAACACGATATGGTCATCATATCAGTGCCAAAGAATGGAAACAATTTTGACAAGCTTCTATGTAAATGTATGACTGCTGAACGAAATCTCTGTTGTTAATGGGTAAAGAAAGGGAATTTCTATCTTTTCAATGACAATCGAAGATTTTGGTTGAAATTATAATCCAGGTGTTTTTAGCTTTTTTCTTTTCCGTGATTCAAAGTACACGTGAGCTTTTTCTGCAGACGTTGGTGGCTTGATTGGTCTTGGGGAATGAATAGGCATTAGCATGATGGGTCTTGGGGAATGAACGCTTGCTTATCGTACGGTAGAGGGTCATCTCCTTCAGATGACAATGTGATACAAAGACGGGATATACGATTTTTACGCCGGTTTTGTCTTGTACATTAACACATAATTCCCTGGCTTTTTAACTGGCATTTTGCATGTTTTTTAATTGTTGACAGCAATATTTTACTGACATGTCCATGCGAGATGGAATAAATTATTCTCTTATTGAAGCCCTGGACAATTTTGCCTTTTTCATTCATTGTTCTGCTTTTGTCAACATCTAATAACTTATTTTGACACAAAAGGGCCGCTCTTTTAAAAAAATGAAAAGTGATGATGATGACCAATTAAAAATTTTAAGCAGCGATATATCAGATGATAGAGCCCTTCTAATTTTTGGTTGTTTTTTTTTTGTTGGTAGAATCAACCTTGCTCTAAGTCTAACAAAACAAAACAAAAGAAGGCTCTATCTGTACTATATATCACTGTTTGGATCTGTTGCAGCAAGTTATGTATGTGTCACTGCAGTTAAATTTTTCATGGAATGGCCCAAAATGGCCTACTGAAGTTTTTCATTTTACAAACTTGAAAAACGATAAGACAAATCACGAGGGAGAGAACCAACAGAAAATGAAAAAAAAACCTTCCTATCCCAAACCTGTCTTGGATACAGTTACTTGAGTGAGTTACTGAGGATTGTAAATGGTTTACAAAGTGATTGACTCACTTTAGATCAGTGAAGAAAAATTGTTGCTTCCACCTTGCCCTTCATCAGGATTAACCTGGAGTATGGGAAGTTGTAGAAAGATGCTGATATTACAGATAAGACCAGATGTTTTTTAAAATTGTCTGACTTGTACATATATTATGTCATTTTACATCTTGTACAAAAAGCATTAGTATTAGCCACTATGATCCAGACATTTTTGAGTCCCCGTACATCTCCATAGAGTTAAAAGGACGATAGATGTTTGATAGGAAAGAAGGAGCAAACCACACCGGAGCACCTGCCAACCACCCACGTCTATTGCGTAGTAAAAGGCAAATTAAAGAGCTTATGAACTTGACATTGAAAACACAACTGAACTAACACTTGTACTTATAATGGTAACATCCAAAAGAACAAGACCAAGGCCAATGAAATAAGACTGCACATATATTTAATTCACAGGGAAAAAAAAAAAATAAAAACTTTGATAATTAATACAAAACCTACAGGTGATGAATGCTTTCAGTAAGATCAGCAGATCAAATTGTGTGTGGCCACCGACAGCTATACGACGATGTACCCATCGACCTCACTAGCAGCACAAGAAACATGTTGTGAAGCATGAGAACATTTGAGGGAGCTATGCTTCATAACTTGAGCGAAAAAGGAACAGAGCATTCCTTGCAAAAAGATATGATGGGACAAAATGAACGCATGTAATGAAGGTTTTATGAGTGCTTGACAAAATAAATGCTAGCGGAATGGCCATCAAAAAGATGTCAACTATGACTCGGGACGCAAAACCCGCGACAAAAATTACAAATGCAACTTCTGCTGCCTGTCAAATTGAGGCTTAAGCAGACAGGTACTAAGTAAATTTGCCCCTAAAAGTAAAATTTTCACAACAGATTTGATCCTTATTTAGCTCCTTTCACTTCTTGACAATTTTGGTCCCGTGAATACATTCCCAGTTACTTCTATTTCTATGCTCAGTGGTCTTGGCTGCTCAATTCTTGACAAAGCGACATTACGTCACAACTTTCTGTTCCCTGAAATAAAACAAAATCCCCCAAAACAAAACCAAAGGCTGTATTTAAATGTTTTCCCTATTTTATTATCACTTAAATAAAGAATAGCATGCTGTCAGTTTTATTAGTATGCCTTCCGTACTTTTCCGGAATGCAAAAATTGACTCCATATATAAAGAGGAGCGTTCTCCATAACGAATGTGTGGGCATGAGGACCACACGGGCTTGAATTTCATATCTCTACTCTCATGGTAAAAAAAGTTTGATGCACTTGAAATCCTTATTGAAAATCTTGAAAGGAAGAGGGATCGTAAATCACCGGAAAAATGTACTTTTTGGGGCATCTATACATTGTAATAGAGGACCATTTTCAGAACTTGAGGCCCCCTTTTGAAGGGTCATAAATGTCAAATGATTATCACATTTATCAGTGCAGAAAACAAATAGCTCTCACTCAAAGGCGAGGCACACACAGAGAGATTTATAAGCAAACATCTAAGATCATAAGACATGAGAAGACTCATAATATGTGAAACCAACATTTCTACAAATTAAACAATGAGGATGAAGAAAGATAGTACATAGTGATGCATTCAATCATTCATTCAGACAAATTGGCATTTCCCCCCCTAGCACAATAATAGGATACTGCATTCTATCTAAATATATCAACATGACATCACAAAAATGACAACTTTGCACATTGCCCGAAAAAGAAAACCATCATTCTATTCATATACATGTATATTATTATTATATATATATATATCTACACTAAAGGTACAGCTATGTTGAATGTACCGCTGACATAGTAAGAGTAAGAGACAAAAAGCTGAACCCCCCCTCCCCCCCCCCCCCCAATCCATTCGTATTCATGATTCCAATAACCATGTTCAAATACAAAGAGAAAAAACAATAAAAGATTCTGCAGACTTTGGGAAGGAAAGAGGGGCAGGAGATGTTCCTTTCATGCAGTGGAGAGAGGTGAAATATGACCAGAAGAACAGTTGCCTCAAGTCTCTGTCAGACAAGTGCCATTCTGCAGGTTTTCCTCCCCCCCACCCCCCCTCCCTCTTGAATGTGCAGATCAAAAGTTGTTACCCAGCGACTTCATTCAACCCCCCCCCCCTCCTCCCAAGTTGCTGTAGTTATTTTTGCACCCACAAAAAGTGCATCAGATAGAAAATACCGGCTACTCTCGTACAATGATAAATTTAAAAAATGATATGAAATGGGATCCAAACTTGTATTTTATTGAACAACTCCAGGAAACAGTCTTGAGTATCCATTTCATGCTGCCGAAACGAGAATTTCTTGACATAAACTCATAAACAAGACACTGATGAATGACAACTTAACGAGACACCAATGGAAAGTAAGCACCGCAGACCCAAGAGCGCACAATTCAAGCAGAACACAAAATGATGTTGATAAGTAAGCACCTGTAGGCCTACCTTGCACCTCAATGAAAATTAATTTCTGCTTACATTTTTCTGCCCACCAAAGCTCAAACTGTGCTGTAGCAAAACAGTTTACCTTACCGCAGAATGTTCAGTCAATCTGACTCAAATATGGAATGTGTCACAACTTACTTCAAGAGACTGCTCAAATATCAGGAAGATATGACTCTCGATTCTCCTCCCTATAATAAGAGGAGCCATAACTTTCAGGTAGCACAATAACAAACATTCTGAAACAATGTTCCACGTGACCTGATTTTGTAGAATTATCTGAACGAAGCACACGTACTTACTTGCCAATCATAAGCTCTGGGTTTTTGGGTTTTATTTTCTCCTTTAGCTGCCATGGGGTTACAAATTGCAATCTAATGTTATATATTATTCATATTATATTCAATTTTGTAACTGAGTGAGCAAAGTGAATAGGTTTATCACCACTTCATAACCCTCACTGCTACAACTACAAGTAAGAATTTCATGCTTGAAATTCAGTTATCATCCTAAATGTAAAAATGCAACAACTGAGAAAATGTCCAATAATCCAATAAAGGACACACCACAAGATACACTGGCATGTGATGTAACACAAGACTCAAGGATCCACGCGAGCAGACGGGTGACCTACTGGAACAGTCCAATGACCACTGGGGACCTGGCACGACCATGTTGGCCTACTGGTGCCCGGGACCCGAAAAACATGTACCGTTTTTTTTTTCTGGTACCTAAAAATCTTTGTAGCGTACGGGGAACCAACTTCAAATGTTTGTTTAACCAATTAGATACACACATTATTTCTAATCCCCCCCGTTCAACAACACCATTGTGAGTCAACTACCAGGGGTCAAAGAGCAACACCCTGAGTTGATCGAATTTCCAGCAACGATCAAAATGGCAGCCCACACAAAATCTGTCTAAATCTGAAGTGCAGCTATGAAGTCTTTCTTGATGTATTTGTCCCATCATCATTGTTACTTGTTGGAAATCATTTTTCTTGATTAAGGATCATATCCAAAGTCATGGCAATAGTCAGTTTAAAAAAATATTTTCACAGTACCGAATCATCTTCAATTACATTTTAAAATAAACAGACCTATAAATCATTTTTGCACATTTGGTCCAAATGCATGTAGTTTGTGTACCTCTACACAAATTGATTTGAGTTCATGCCAAGTAATACGCCTGTCCAGTTTTTCATTTCTGTGTGCTAATTTTCTTTTTATTTATAAAAAGATCCTGCATTTTCAGGGAAATTTTGGGGAAACAAAGTGGCGTCGTCAGTAAGTTAAGACTCCTCAAAATGAGCCCACAAATAAAGCACTGGAACTACATATAGTAGTCAGCAAAAACATAATGTATTAAAAACATCGGCAGGTTTTGAGAGAAATTATCAGTTCATTTTCTAAGATATCTGTCACATATCACAAAAGAAGAAGTCTACATGTAATTATCTGAATATCTTCTTTTCATCCACAAGCAATTGTAGGACAGGCTCTGACAATTTCTTTGAGCATTCATCAATCAATTCCTTTGATCGTAATTTTCCAACAAGCAGTACCCATGCTCTTCAATCATGAAAAAAGTACAACTTTGAACAACGATGTCATCAAACAAAAAGTACTCCTTTACAAACTGTCTAGTGAGTGGCGTCCCAGTGACGGCAACAAATGCTGGAGCACAGAACGCACAATTTTCTACACGCCACACACACACACAGCATTGTTGACATTATTACCATGAATCTAACAAAGAAACATACATTTGAAGAAATAGACACAGATTCCACTATTTTTACGGCAGTCAAAATGCTTCAAGCTGAAAATACGGATTGTGAAACACTTCGTAACAGACAAGTTCAGATAGCTTTATATCCTCATACTTATGAGCTCTTGACAAAAACATTTGACCAAACCACACACCCACAACTCACAGCCCAGCTTGACACGCAGGCCGTATGTCACACCCCTACATTCAGACCACACACAACCAGCTATCGTACATTTATTTAATATGGCATGCCTAAAACGCGCGCCCTTC